CTACACTAATTTACAGAATATCACTGCTTAAGGAAAAGTATAATACAACACAGAGGCTGGTCTGGAACTCCTGAGCTCAAGCAATCAACCTGCCTCAGCTTCCCACAGTGCTAGGTTACAGGCCTGCACCATAGGATCTGGGCTTCAGTTCTGCTTTACCCACACCTTTTGGTGTGTTTAAGAGGGGACAGGGGCTCAGCGCCTATAGCTCAACCGGCTAAGGCGCCAGCCACGTACACCTAAGGTGGCAGGTTCAAATCCCCAGCCCGGACCCGCCAAAACAACAATGACGGCTGCAACCAAAAAATGGCCGGGCGTTGTGGCGGGCGCCTGTGGTTCCAGCTACTTGGGAGGCGGAGGCAAGAGACTCACTTGAGCCCAGGATTTGGAGGTTGCTGTGAGCGGTAATGCCACGGCACTCTGCCCAGGGGGACAGCTTGAGGCTCTGTCTCAAAAAAAAAAAAAAGAGGGGACAGGGTTGGTTCTTCTGAGATTATTTCTCAGCATGGAGAAAAGTCAGTGGATAGATGGGTCCTGCGTAGGATCCCCAGTTTCAGTTCGGGAGCATAGCGAGTCCTTCCTAGTCCACGTCCACTGTCATTTGTTTCAGCCATCTCTACTCTCATCTTGTACATGTTATGTATTATAGATGAAGCTGGTTTTTCTGTATTTAATCATCTCTTTAACTATTGTGTATACTTTTCTTTGTCATTTTTTCCTATCTGGAATGCATGGAGCAGAATATTTCTCCCCACTGGCAGATGTGTACATGGCTTGGGAGGAATGGTTGTGTGGGGTATTAGGATTTTTTAGGTTGGGGTAGAGGTGGAGTGCCCACGTGTGGTTTAAACCTACTGGTGTCAAAGGAGGGAGCACTCAGGGCTTGCTGTTAGCCAACCAGATGAGCAGAACAAGAAGAGATAAGGCAAAGGTACAAAAGGTATTAATATTCAAATGTCACATGATGCAGTTTTACTCTATAAGATAACAGAGAGTAGGCTCAGCGCCTGTAGGTTAGGGCACCGGCCACATGCACTGAGGCAGGCAGGTTTAAACTGGCCTGGGCCTGCCAAACAACAATGACAACTGCAACAACAACAGCAACAAAATAGCTGGGCATTGTGGTGGGCACCTGTAGTCCCAGCTACTTGGGAGGCTAAGGCAAGAGTATCGCTTAAGCCCAAGAGTTTGAGGTTGCTGTGAGCTATGATGCCACAACACTCTACCAAGGGCAACATAATGAGACTCTGTCTTAAGGGAAAAAAAAAAAGAAAGAAAGAAAATAACAGTGGGCTCGGCGCCTGTGGCTCAAGTGGCTAAGGCGCCAGCCATATACATCTAAGGTGGCGGGTTCGAATCCAGCCCAGGCCCACCAAAGGACAATGACGGCTGCAACCAAAAATAGCCAGACATTGTGGTGGGCGCCTGTGGTCCCAGCTACTGTGTGACAGGAAGATAATCTCTATTGCTGAATCCCTAGAGGCCATTGTACCACCTTCTTCTGACTGGTATTTCTATTTAGAGTGACAGTCTTTCAGAAAAACAACAAGTTTTTGTGACCTTTCAGGGAAAATAGGCACCTAATAGATTTGATTTCATCCAAAATTACTTAATAAAAAAAGAAATTACATAATAAATGCATTTTCTTTTAACAATATCAAGTTGGGTATGGTGGTACGAACTTATAATCCCAACTCCTTGGGAAGCTGAGGCAGGAGAGAAGAAAAAACAAAGAAAAGACCTAAAATATATCATTTACCCAGACACAGTGGCTTATGCCTATAATCCTACCACTCTGGGAGACCGAGACAAGTGAATTCTTGGAGCTCAGGAGTTCAAGAACAGCCTGAGTAAGAGTGAGACCCTGTCTTCACTAAAAATAGAAAAACTAGTTAGCGGTTGTGGTGGGCACCTATAGTTGTAGTTACTTGGGTTGGTGAGGTAAGAGGATCTCTTGAGCCTAAGAGTTTGAGGTAGCTGTGAGCTATGACATGACAGGCACTCTTTACAGGGTGACAGAGTAAGTGTAGCAGGAAACCGAGGCAGACAGAAGACTCCAGGCACCAGTTGATTCGAGGAAGCAGGTTTATTCTGGTCAGGGGGTAAATCAGAACACCAATGTGTCTCCAAAACCGAGCATCCCCCCACACACTCCATCTCTTGCCTCTCTTTTATCCACTTTTCAGGGCAGGAGTGCACGTGAGGGTCATAAAACAGAGAGAGACATGACATCATCCTCAAGGTCCCAGGCTCAAGGGGGAAGATCAGATTCTCCCACACGTCCTTGAGACAGGTCAGACCACCTGCCCTCAAAGGCGATGGAAGTCCAGGGAATTTACTAGGTTACAATCTAGGCCCTACTTATGTCAAGGAAGGAACATACAGACAACAGCAATGCCTGTGGCTTGGCTGAGGCCTACACATGGCGGCTAGGACAGATTCTTTTAGTTCTGCTTTTACTTTCTTGACTCATAAGAATCTCTCCTAAAACAAAAAATCTCTCTCTCTCTCTCCATATATACATACAAACACACACATATAAAACAATTTTTAAATAGAAGTGTATTTTCTAATGACCTTCGTATTGAACTTACATTCACATAAATTTATGGTACATTCAGAACATAATGATATGAGCCTACTATGAGGCCAACAAAGTTTATTTTAAAGGTACATAATCTCAAGAGTGTAGTGCAAAGAGCACGTACATAATTTCCGTCTATATTCAAGAGTTATTGCTTTATTCAAAGCAACACTTGAAGACCATGGTACACACACGCCTGAGCCCTCCACTTCCCCGGTGTTGTCCCTCTCAAAGTCTCTGAAACTGAGCTCAGGCTCCATGCCCTCCCTCCAGTGGGAATGGGGAATTGAAGGGGAAAAGGTTTCTAGTATGTTCAACTGGGCAACAACTTGAAACTGCACATTCAACCCTGGGAGGTTTTGCAATTCACATTGTACTTTGCCTCTCCTTCACAGACGTTCCAGGGGTGTTTAAGTATAGCACTTAATTTAAATTGCAGGAACGTTTCCTGTATTTAACCACCAACGGACGTTGATGATCCCAGCCAGATTCTAGTTCCCTGACCCCTGAGTTGTTCCTGCCTCAGGGTAGATTTTATCCGATAAAACCCTGAAACCGAGCACCAGGGAAGGACTGCTCAAAGGCGAGTAGGTCCCGCCCCTAGTCCTGCCCCTCACCCTGGGGACCCCGCCCAGGCCCGGCCTCTCCTGCGCGCGCAGGATCCTGCAGACCCGGAAGACACCGGCGTGGGAAGAAGGCAACCAGGTTCCTGGTGAGGTTCCCTTTTTCCGCTTAGGCGTTCGCTTAGCGGTCCCCAGCGCTTCTATACCCGGATCGGGGCTGTAGAGACCTTAAATCGCTGCACCGCTCCTTCCGTCACGAGTAAATTCACGTCCCAGTGAGAGTCCGGGGTCTCTTCCCTATGAGCTGAGTCGCCCTGAGGCAGGTCATGTCCCCGGTCTTCCTTCCACAAGGCCCGGGAGACACCACCTTTTGCACCGTGTCCCTCCCTAAAGCCCCTGAGTGAACGCTGCACTCTACTCGCACCCCCTAAAGTTCCTTACTCGCGAGGGGCTTCACGCCCTTCCGGGCCCCTAGGCCTAGTCGGCCTGGAGGGCAGCGCCGCAGGCCCGGTCGCGGAGGAGCCGCGTCCCCTCCCTGATCCTGGGATCCAGCGGACCCCACCTCTGTCCTAATCTGTCCCCTCAGCTCCACCCCGCCACTAACCTTGTTGGCCAGATCAGCTCCCCATGACAGTCCTCTGTCACCACTGCCTCTGTGTGGGGGGTTAGGAGAAGAGAGCGGGGCTTGTCATGTGACTCCAAATGTCTTTTCATCCCTAAATCGTGTGCGCCCCCCAGGTGAGCATTTTATCCGTTGTTTTTTTTTGTTTTGTTTTGGTTTTTTTTTGTTTTTTTGAGACAGAGCCTCAAGCTGTCATCCTGGGTAGAGTGCTATGGCATCACAGCTCACAGCAACCTCCAGCTCCTGGGCTCAAGGGATTCTTCTGCCTCTGCCTCCCAAGTAGCTGGGACCACAGGCGCCTGCCACGACGCCCGGGCATTTTTTGGTTGCAGCCGTCATTGTTTGGCGGGCAGCTCAAACCTGCCTGCTGTCGAACCCGCCAGCTCAGGTGTATGTGGCTCGCCTTCGCTGCTTGAGCCGCAGGCGCCGAGCCTTATTCTTATTTTTTACTTGTCAAAGGGTGGAGTATGGTATACGGAGAGCAGGAGAAAGGAGATAGGAAAACTTAAAAAGAGAGAGGAAGAGTGAGGGAGACCCATGAACTCTGCACAGTAGAGCATGTAGGAGGGATTTGCAAGGAGACAGGAGAGTGAAAGCTGAAGGCAGGACACCAGGATGGGTGTCCTGAAGCCATTTCCACAAAATTATATCTCCTGACAGATGAAGCACAACAACATAGGAAGAGGGCACAGAATGGGGAGACACCTCCGACAGAGAGTCTTGGGAGGGCAGGAATGATTGGGAGTCAGGCAGACAGCCACCTTGTTCTGGGATGCCAGGAGGGGACACCTGGTGACAAGTAGAGCAGAGAAAGAACCAAAGCTGGTTGTGAGAGAGAGGGTGTAACAAGGAAGAGGAAATTTAATAGGGGGAACAGAGATGGGGAAGAAAAAGGGAGAGATAATGTGAGATTGGCACACTTAAGAGATTGCAGAAAGAGAGCTGGAAAAGGTGATGTATATTTCTGTGGTGAGCAGGCCTGATAGGGCAGGGCTCCCCAAAGTCTGGGGGAACATTCAGAGAGTGACCCTCCCCAACTATTTCTTCCCCAAAACAACCATACTCCTTTCTTCTTGTTCCTGCTGCCAGAAGTCACATAGCTCTTCTTTTGTCTAGTTAGTCTTTAGGAACTATACAGAAATCCTTGTGATTTTTTCCCTTTTTATTTCTTAATATGTGTTAACAAAGTTAAATAGAAACCTTTAACAGGATGATTTAGTTATTTATGTTTTCCAGTCATTGTAAGACCAAAAATATGTCTTTTGTCTGTGTTACTTCCAACCCTGCCAAGATACTATAAAATAAAGCTAATTTTGTGTTTTGATGCTGGTGGTAGCCATCAGCTGAGTCAGACCTCCCAACCCCACCTTTCATCTCTCATGTCTTCTCTTCTGTTTTATTTCCTCAACCCCTACTGCTTCCACTCTGGTTTGTTCTCCTTTTCCCCACAGGCTCACAAAACGAAACATTTCCAGATTGGAGCAGAACAGTTAGAAGAAGTAAAAGAGGGAAAGAACAGGAGAGAGGGCCACAAAGTGGTGATCAAGAGCCCAGGGGGAGACCCAGAGAAGAAGACAAAAAGAAGAGCAGGGGAGAGGTGAGGACAAGAGGTTTGTAGAGAATGAGGTAGGGAAGCGAGGTGATGAAGACACAGGGGCCCTGAGCCCAGATGAGTCTTGATGTGATTGTGTGTGATACAGTGTTTTGCCAATTTTAATCTAATAGATTTAGCATTTGCTGCAAATATAGAGATGAAGTTGAGAATTGCAAATTCCTGTCCGTAATGCTGGTGCGTGAAGTAATTCCTGGCCTCACAGGCTAGCCTCCACCTGAAGCCCAGATTCAGCCAGAAGGCAGTGAGTTGGCCCAATCAATAGTGGGTCGCTCTATTCCTTTTTCCTGAGTTGGGGTAGAAAGTGGGGTGGTGTCTGAGATAGAAGGAAGAACCACAGTGTTTTTTTTACTTTCATAATCAGGAAGTCAGTGAGTGTTCAACACAGAATACATAGCCTCTGGTCACTGATATGTGTGGGGGTCACTCCTCATCAGCATGTAGTTGTCCATCAGACACCCATAGGGTCTTCTGTAAGGTAACTCAGCTATCACACAGTCTACCTGGACATGGGATCAGATCTCCAGTTGTAAGGCGAGAATCCACAAACCTGCCCCACTTCAAATGCCATTCCTGGTCCCTAGAAGGGACTGGAACTTATGACTGAACAGCTGTAAATTGTGTGTTTCATTTTCTTTCTTTCTTTTTTTTTTTCTTGCAGTTTTTGGCCGGAGCTGGGTTTGAACCTTTCACCTCTGGCATATGGGGCCAGAGGCCTACTCCTTTGAGCCACAGGCGCCACCCCGGCTCACATTTTCTTAATCTGATAAAGCCGTTCACAAACTTAGGAAAACAATTTTGTAGGTTAACTAATTTGTTACAGAAATACTCCAGAGCACATATATGAACAGACAGAAGCAAGAGCCATTCTCACAGATTAATGAAAACTAGGAGTATTGGGAATCATGATTTTTATCTGTACATGAAGGGAGGGACAGTCTTGGGGACTCAGTCTTTGCCTTGTGGGATCTGACCCTACTCACATGTTAGTACTATCAATATTGAGTTAGATTATGGGGCACCCAACTGGGTCCCCTAGAGAAATGGTCAGTAGGAGGAAATCACACACACATTAGTGACTAGAGGTAAAATATTCTGTGTTCAGTTTTTTATTTCAAACATTACAGGGAAGACATTCTCTAACAACCCACTCTCCCTGTCAGGGGGCTTGGGACCTCTACCCAGTAGTGACAGAGAATGGTCTGTCATTGGCTGGCACTGCAATTGTGTACCTGTTGTCCTCCCTGCACGTTTTCATCAATTTTTACTTTTTATTTTGTGAGACAGAATCTTTGTCATCCTGTGTAGAATGCCCTGACATCATCATAACTCAAACTCTTGGGCTCAAGATATCCTCTTGTGGGCTTGGCACCTGTGGCTCAAGTGGCTAAGGCGCCAGCCATATACACCCAAGGTGGCGGGTTCGAGTCCAGCCCGGGCCCGCCAAACAACAATGACGGCTACAACCAAAAAAAATGGCCAGGCATTGTGGCGGGCGCCTATGGTCCCAGCTACTTGGGAGGCAGAGGCAGGAGACTCGCTTGAGCCCAGGAGTTGGAGGTTGCTGTGAGCTGTAATGCCACGGCACTCTACCCAGGGGGACAGCTTGAGACTCTGTCTCAAAAAAAAAAAAAAAAAAGACAGCCTCTTGTGTAAGCCTCCCCAAAAGGTGGGACTAGAGACAACCCACCATGAAACCTGGCTAGTTTTTCTATTTTTAGTAGACACCGGGTCATACTCTTGCTCAGGCCTGTCTGAACTGCTGAGCTCAAGAGGTCCTCCTGGCTCATCCTCTCAGAGTGCTGGGATTACAGGTATGAGGCATGCCTTGCCCAGGATTTCCTCCTTGAATCTCTTTCCTTTCCTTATCATCTCATCTTATGGTATAAACCCCGGTGACATATCTTCATTTCCCCAGTAGTCCTCTCCCCGAACTCTGGAATTCTGTTTCAACTTGTATCCTCACCTCTGCGGGGCCAACTAGCAGGCATCGCTACCTTCATATGTCCTAAGGGGACTTTCTCAGCTCTGAAAAACAGGGTTGGGCACATGTAGTTCAGTGTTTAGGGCACTGGCCACATGCACCGGGGATGACCCTGTGTTCTCTCCTGCTCTTGGAACTTCCCCCAGAACCTCTCTGGCTTCATCTGTTTGTGTCTTGCTCGCTGACTCTGTTCCTGCCACACAGGCCTCTTTCTTTTCCCCAGGTCGCTCCTGCCTCAGGGCCTTAATTGTGGAAGTCTTTGTAGAACTGTCCGAGCCACTCAGCTGCAGGTAACAAGTACTCTTCCTTCCTTATCTCTTTGTTCTGATGTTACCTTCTCATCTCACTGGGCCTTTTCCCTATTTAATGTTACAACTACCTCTTCACCCCCACCTGGCCCCTTGTAGTCCATATTGGTTCAGCTGTTTATTTGTGGGTCCCTTTCCTTTCACTGTCAGTACACGGGTGACAAGGCTGCAAGGGGAGAGCAGATCCAGAAGGTAGGTGGTATCCTCTCCATGGCCCTCTGAGTGTTTCTCAGGCCTTTTGCCATGTTAGAGTGCAAAGGCTTTTCTCACATATGTTTCTCCTGTCCCCTTTCCATTAACATAGTCATGTTGGGACCCACCCTCAGTAATGGTTCCAGTGACAATGTGTCCTGTCTGTGGCCACCACTGAGCACCAAGGCTCTGTGTTCTCTGCTGGGGGCTGAGCTCAGTCTGTGATCACAGAGGGGTGAGGGCCTTTGTTCTACTTTTGTTTGAGGCTGTGCCCTGGAGGGGAGCTCAGTGCAGCTATGCTCCCCACTGCTGCATTGTGTGGGGACTTCACCAGGAGGGGGGTGGGGTCTGAGGAACAGGTCAGAGAATCTCTAGTAGGAATGGATTGTCCTTGCATCCCCCTATTATTATGGACAGGATAGAACCATCTTATTACAATGGAAGCTTTTCTTCTCCAAGGGAAACTGGCATACATAGGGGGTGTGTTGATTCTCAGCATTGAATACCATATTTTGTTACATTCAGGATTGACTATTAATGATTCATTTGGGGTGAAGAAGGAGTACAGATCAGAGGAAGGAATAAAGAAGATAAATCAGCAATGGCTCTTACTCAGGTACAGTGATATTCTCAGTAGAGTTTGTTTGTTTGTTTGTTTGTTTGTTTGTTTGTTTAGCAGGCCTGGGCCGGATTTGAACCCATCAGCCCCGGTGCATGTGGCTGGTGCCCTAACCACTGAGCTACAGGTGCCCAACCCTCGGTGGATAGTTGTGTGTGTTTTTCCTTTCTCAAATGCTGTCATTGGAGTTGCTGATCTTTTCTAACTCTGAGCCATTCTCTGTGACATATTTGCTCCCACTTGCCCATGTCTTTCTTCAGTTCTTGTCATCACCACTTTAATGCCATGTCACTATGACACAGTGACATGACCTCGTGAAGAGGGTCCTTTGGGCACAGACCTAGGAAGGGCTTCATGCGCAGCCCTAGGTCGGGGGGGGGTGTGGCCCAGTGGTGTCAGTGCTGTAGGGCAGCAGGGACTGTTCAGGGTCCACATCGGAATGCACTTCCAGGTCTCTATAGAGGAGAATTAGACCAGCTGCACATGGAAGTCATGGGGGTACATTCTGAAAAGGATGTTCCCTTAGTGGAGATCTTTTTTGCCTGATTCTCTACTACATTTCAAGGTAAAGGACTGAATCACTGTGTTTTTCATGCCAAATTGTTTATGACCAGGAATAGTATGGACAGATAGACATCAGTGATACAGAGTGTTTTATTCTATTATCTTTTTTAAAATATGGAATGAACATAAATGTCTGGGAGCAAAAGATTGGGGTTTAGTCAGTGGTTCTTTCCCACAGAGGCTAGTCTGTTCCTGCAGGGACTTTTTTTGTTTTTCTTTTCACAGGAGTGCAGTGGCCCAATCACATTAACTGCACCTTCTAATTCCTGTGCTCAAGTCATCCTCCGGTCCCAGCTTCTCACGTAGCTGAGAGAGGAGGTGCACATCCTGCTTGTTTTTTCTGTGTATAAAGAGGGGGTCTTGTGATGTTACCCAGGGTGGAGTTGAACTTCTTTCATCAAAAAATCCTCCCACTGTCTCAGTGCCTATAGCTCAAGCAGCTAAGGCACCAGCCACATACACCCATGCTGGTGGGTTCGAACCTGGCCCGGGCCAGTTAAACAACAATGACAGCTGCAACAAAAAAATAGCCTAGCATTGTGGCGGGCACCTGTAGTCCCAACTACTTGGGAGGCTGAGGCAAGAGAATTGCTAAAGCCCAGGAGGTGGAGGGTGCTGTGAGCTGTGATGCCACAGCACTCTACCCAAGGGGGCAGCTTGAGTCTCTGTCTCAAAAAAAAAAAAAAAAGTCCTCCCACCTTGACCTTCCAATGTGCTTGGGTTGCCAGTGTGAAAGACAAGCCTGGGCACACAAAATTCTTCAGTCAATATTTCACTGTGATATTTTATAGTGCACGTTTCAGATTATGTATTTTCAGAAAATATATATCCCAGCATGTTGAAGTTATTTAGCAAGTCATTCGTTTTGTGCTTGAAAATTATGTCTCTGTTCCTTCAACTCATGTAGTACACAACGTTCACCCACAGATCCAGTGGGGTTCTTAGAGTGTATCCCCATGTATAAGGGGATTGTTACCTTATTTTGTATCCAGTGTATTTAGCATTGAAAACTAAGGCACAGTGTCTTGCAATTATGAGGACTGAGCTCTGCCTGGGTTTTCATCAGATCTTTGTCTGTGCCCTGCAGGGGAGCTCAGTCCAGCCCAGCTCCCCCTGGTAAAATGTGGGCATGGGTTTCATTGGAAGAAGAGTAAGTGTGAAGAAATGCTCAGAAACTCTTTACTTGGCCTTCCTGTATGAGTTACTGTCCTTGTAATTCAGTTCCCCAGCTCGGTAGGCTGCAGAGGGCTGTCTACACAGACACATCCTTTTATTTCAGTGGATATGTGTTAAGTGTGTATGTGTATACATGTGTGAGTATGTACGTGTGAGGTGTGTATTTGTGGACATGGGTTAGTAAAAGCACATTATCAGTTTACATAAATGTTATGGGGCTTTTTTGTTTGTTTTTGTTTTTGTTTTTTTGCAGTTTTTGGCCAGGGCTGGGTTTGAACCCGCTTCCTCTGGCATATGGGGCCAGTGCCCTACTCCTTTGAGCCACAGGCGCCACCCCAAATGTTAGATTTTTTAACCTATGCAATTTTATCTGTAATAATGCCATCACTTTAAAATTTTTCTACACTAAGGGTGTTCATCCTTTTTTCTTCCACACATTGAAAGAGGAAGAGTTGTCTTTCCCACACAGTAAATATATAAACATTTCGGAAAGCTGGCTTAGAAGAAAAAGGTCCTTGCCACCTTTTCACTATATCTGATGTCACAACACATAACAAAGTATATTCATGTGGATCTTTTTTTTTTTTTTTTTTTTTTTTTGAGACAGAGTCTCAAGCTGTCCCCCTGGGTAAAGTGCTGTGGCATCACAGCTCACAGCAACCTCCAACCCCTTGGCTCAAGCGAGTCTCCTGCCTCAGGCTCCCAAGTAGCTGGGACCACAAGCGCCCACCACAACTCCTGGCTATTTTTTGGTTGCTGCCGTCATTGTTATTTGGCAGGCCCAGGCTGGATTCGAACCTGCCACCTTGGGTGTATGTGGCTGGGGCCTTAGCCACTTGAACCACAGGTGCCAAGCCAATTCCAGGCACTCTCAATACTCACTTATCCAAGTCATCTTTATTGAACAATTGGTCTATATC